GAATAAAACTATTTCTCCGTATCTTACCCTACACAAAAATCATCTCAAAATGAATCAAAGACCTAGCAATTAGACCAGAAACACTGCAACTGCTAGAAAATAGGAGAAACACTCCATCATATAAGTGCAGGCAATGACTTCCTCAATAGGACTGCTAAAGCTCAGGAAATAAAACCAAGAATTAATAAATGGGATGGTGTCAAAGTTTCTGCACAGCAAGGAAAACAATTAAGAGTGTAAAGAGAGTGATGAAAGAGCAAAGAATTATAATGCATTATGCTGTCATATATAAATTAAAAAACATATAGTCATCTGAAATATATAACTTTAAACCAAAGAAATTTCACAGCATTTTTCAAAATAAATAAATAAATAAATGTAGGTATATAACTTCTGCCTCAGTATTTCCACAACAAAGAATATGTTCTAGATTTACAAATTCCTATGTTCAAGCAAGATACACTTATGATGTCATTCATTCCATAACTGTAATCTAAAAAATGAGGAAGGAAGCAAGCAAGCAAAAAGAAGGAGGGGATGAAGAAAGAAAGAAAAATGGAAAGAAAGGGAAATTACCTATTGATAAAAGATTGATTAGTTAAATAAATAACGCAATATGCAGCCAACTGGGAAAAAAGAGTGTGAAGAGAAAGTCTTTGGAATGGGAAAAAATCTTTGCCAGCTACTCTTCTCTAACACAGGATTTAGATCCAGAATATATAAAGAACTTGAAAGAATTATCACCAAAAAACAAACCAATCAATGAATTAAACAGACATTTCGCAAAAGAAAAAAATACAAATGGTCAACAAATAGGAAAAAATGTTCAACATCTTTAGAAATAAGGAAATTGCAAATCCAATCTACACTGAGATTTCATCTCACTTCCATTAAAATAGCATTCATTAAGAATATAAAAAAATACAAAAAGTAATAAATGCTGGTAAGGATGCAGGGTAAAAGGAATACTCATTTACTGTTGATGAGACTGTAAATTAGTACAACCACTATGGAAATCAGTAGGAGGTTCTTCAAAAGACTAGGAATGGAAGCACTACATGACCCAGCCATACCATTTTGAAAGAACTAAATTCAGCATATTATATCAATATGTATATATTGTGTTTGATTCTCAGCACCACATACAAATAAATAAAGGTCTGTCAACAATTTTTTAAAAAAAATTAAAAAGAAGAGTAAATTATGTCATTTGCTGGTAAATGGATGAAACTGGAACACATCGTGGTAAGTGAATAAGTCAAACTCAGAGAGTCAAGAGTAGATAATATGCAGAAGCTAGAGAGAAAACAGGAATAAAAAAGGGGATCTCATGAAAACAGAAGGGAGACCATTAGAAAAGAAAAAGGGGACCAGGATATCAAGGAAGGGATAGAAAGGGCAATTGTTAGGGAACAGAGTTGAATAAATTATGTTATATGCATGAGTGAACATCTCACAATGATCCCACTAATATATATAATTATAATGTACTAATAAAATGTTTTTTTAATGAAAGTAAAAAATTAAGAGTATTTTTGCGTTTTTAGATATATTAATCAAGGAGCATGCTTTAAAAAATAGTAAGAACACTAAAAAAAAAAAAAAATTGAGGAAGACCTTAGAAGAGGGAAAGATCTCCCATGCTCCTGGATAGGCAGAATTAATCTTGTCAAAATGGCCATACTACCAAAAGTGCTATATAGATTTAATGCAATTCCTATTAAAATGCCAACTATACTAAAATGACATTCTTCATAGAACTAGAAAAGAACAATCATGAAACATATATGGAAAAATAAGAGACCCAGAATAGCCAAAGCAATCCTTAGCAAGAAGAGTGAAGCAGGAGGCATCACAATATCAGACATTAAACTATACTACAGAGATATAGTAACAAAAATAGCATGGTATTGGCACAAAACAAACACGTAGACCAATGGTACAGAATAGAAGACACAAAGACAAACCCACATAAATACAGTTATCTCATACTAGACAAAGGCATCATAAACATTTATTGGTGAGAAGATGGCCTCTTCAACAAATGGTGCTAACAAAATGAAATTAAACCCTGATCTCTTACCCTGCATGAAACTCAACTCAAAGTGGATCAAAGATTTAGGCACTAGAACAGAGAACCTGTGTGAAATAGAAGAAAAAGTAGGCCCAAATCCTCACCATGTCAGCCCAAGTTCTGACTTCCTTAATAAGACTCCTAAAGCAAAAGAAGTAAAATCAAGAATCAATAAATGGGATGAATTCAAACTAAAAAAGATTGTTCTCAGCAAAAGAACAATAATATGAAGAGAGAGCCTACAGAATGGGAGAAAATCTTTACCACATACACCTCAGATACAGCACAAATCTCCAGGATATATAAAGAACTCAAAAAACTTAATACCAAAAAAAAAAAAAAATCAATAAATGGGCCAATGAACTGAACAGACACTTCAGAGAAGAAGATATACAATTGATCAACAAACATGTGAAAAAATGTTCAACATTTCTAGCAGTTAGAGAAATGCAAATCAAAACTACTCTAAGATTCCATCTCACAGGCTGCAGTTGTGGCTCAGTGGTAGAACGCTCGCCTAGCATGTGCAAGATACTGGGTTCAATCCTCAGCACCACTTAAAAATAAAATAATGGTATAAAAAAGGATAATGACTTAAACGTGCATGCAATTAAAAAAATAAGATTTCATCTCACTGTCAAAATGGCAGTTATCAAGAATACAAGCAACAATAAATGTTGACAAGGATGTGGTGGAAAAGGTACACTTATACATTGTTGGTGGGACTGCAAATTGGGGCAACCACTATGGAAAGCAGTATCAAGATTTCCTCAGAAAACTGGGAATGGAACCACCATTTGACCCAGCTATCCACTCCTCAGTTTATACCCAAAGGACTTAAAATCATCATACTAAAGTGATGCAGCCACATCAATGTTTATATCAGTTCAACTCACAATAGCTAAACTATGGAACCAACCTAGGTCTCCTTCAACAGATGAATGAATAAAGAAAATATGGTGTATATATATACACAATGGAATATTACTCAGCCTCAAAGAATAATGAAATTATGGCATTTGCCAGTAAATGGATAGAACTAGAGAATATCATGCTAAGCGAAATAAGCCAATCCCCCCAAACCAAAGGCTGAATGTTTTCTCTGATATGTGGATGCTAATTCACGATGGGGAGTGGCTAAGAAAGAATACAATTACTTTGGATTAGGTAGAAGGGAGTGAAGAGAGGGGAGGTGTTTAGGGGTAGGAAGGATAGTAGAATGAATCTGACATTATTACATTATATTACATATTATTACATTATGTCCTATGTACATAAGGACATGTGATTCTACATCACATACAACCAGAAGAATGAGAAATTATACTCCATTTATATATAATGTGTCAAAGTACATTCTACTAAAAAAAATAAGATTTCATCTCACTGTCAGAATGGCAGTTAGTTATACAAGCAATAAATGTTGCTTGTATAACTAATTAAAACAAATAAAAACAATACTTGTGGGGTGGGGTTGTGGCTCAGTGGTAGAGCACTCATGTAGCATGTGGGAGGCCCTGGGTTCAATCCTCAGCACCACATAAAAATAAAATAAAGGTACTGTGTCCAACTACAACTAAAAAATAAACATTTTTTAAAAACTGTTTGGAAGACTCCTTTCTAGGTCCTATTAGAAATACTATATAACTAGTAGCAAAAACAAATGTTTTAATGAGCTAAATGGTTATCTTTAGAAAAATAAAAATACTTTGTATGTAATTTATCAAATGTAAAATACTATACTAGATCTTATTTTAAATTAGAAACAGAACACTAGAATCACCACCCCTCTAGGAACAGTTTGGTAAAAGAATGAGATCTAGACCAAAACCTACCACATTTAAGCATGTAATCATCACCACTACATAATCATCACACTTTTTGTTTATTGGGGGTTTTTAGGGGTTCAAAAATTGGTTTATAACCTTTAATTGTGTAATCATTGCATGATATGATTCTGTTCATCACTATTATAAACAAAGCATCAATGTAAATATATATATGTGTGTTTGTGTATATATAAAGATATGTTGTAAAATTTACTCATATTATCCAGTATTATTTGAAAAGCAACATTTGATAAAATCTGGCAAATATTATGTATGCAAGATTTTTTTAAATATTTTTTTTGAAATTTATTTTTAGTTATAGATGGGCACAGTACATTTATTTATTTATTTATTTTTATATGGTGCTGAAGATTGAACCCAGTGCTTCACGCAAGCTAAGCAAGTGTTCTACTACTGAGCTACAGCCCCAGCCTCTATATGTAAGATTTTGATAAGAAAAAACTGGCTCTTGGGAGGGGCTAGGGTTGTGGCTCAGTGGGAGAGCGCTTGCCTAGCATGCACGAGGCACTAGGTTCAATCCTCAGCACCACATAAATGTAAAATAAAGATATTGTGTCCACCTAAAACTAAAAAATAAATATTTAAAAAAAGCAAAAACTGGCTCTTTAGAATAATAGACATGTGTTAATTGTAGGAACTACTTCCCAGGAATTTTTTATTCACAGTCATTTTTTGTCTAAGTTTTACTCAAATTCACTGTTTTTCTTTTAGCCTAAATTTTTCATTTTAATTATCTATTTGGCTTTTTTTTTTCAGTGCTGGGGACTGAACCCAAGGGTGCTCTACCACAGAGCTACATCCCTATCTCTTTTTTCTGTTTTTTGAGACAGAGTCTTGCTAAGTTGCTGACGCTGGCCTTGAACTCTCCATCCTCCTTCCTCAGCCTCCTGATCAATAGGATTGGAGATATGCACCACTGCGCCCAGCCATCTGTATGTATTCTTGTTGCCATGTGTTTAAAATTCCCTCAAAATTTATGTGGAAAAAACAAAATAAAAAGAACTTTGCTCAGCTCAGGAATTCTCAACTCTGGCTGTGCATTAAAATCATCTCATGCAGGACATGGTGGTGCATACCTGTAATCTCAGTGGCTCAGGAGGCTGAGGCAAGAGCATCACAGGTTCAAGTCAGCATCAGCAACTTGCAAGGCTCTCAGCAATTCAGCAAGACCCTATCTCAAAATAAAAAAATACAAAGGGCTGCGGATGTGCCTCAATAGTTAAGCACCTCTGGGTTTAATCCGTAAAACAACAACAAAAATCTGCTTAACTCTCCAGAATGATTCATGTTCAGACCCTAGCTCCAGGAATTCTGATTTAATTGTTCTAGGCAAGTCGTTAAAACTCTCCAGATGATTCTAATGTACAATTAGGATTGAGCTCCCCTAACTTAGAGCATATCACTTTTTATTTTTTGTATAAAAGAATAATTGGTCTCTTACAGTTTACAGATAAAGTCAAAAATATCTTAAAAGCATTTTACATACTACCTTGTAAACATTTCTGTATTGCACAGGCTTGTTTCTGGCACGGATCCTTTTGCGGCATATCCAGAAAACTAAAACAAGAAAAATGATTTTTATTTTGCTTTTTTACTCATAAATAAAGCTCCTTACATGGAATTTTCTTCAGAGACAATTAAAAATTACACTATAAATACTCTTCCCGTGTAGGATGAACCAACTGTATTTTTATAATATCCAGTTCTTTAAGGTTAGAAGAAATAAATAGCTTTACATGGGAAAAAAAATCCTTAAATTCAATGTACTCGTCCTGCATATTATAAACAAATGTTGGGCCAGAGGAACTGATGCTGCAGGTCAATGGGCCTAGACAGCTGCCCATTTGTATCATTCAGAGAGGAAACCCTTAATAAATGATTAAATTTCCTCAGCCTTTTTCCTCACTACTCATGTGTAAAATGAGATCATACCTACCTCAAAGGATTGATGGAAGAACTAAATGTGATAAAGATATAAAGTGTATAGAATAGTGTCTAGAAGGCAGTAAGTAAAGATTCAAAACATGGTGATTATTATTACCAAGACTCTTTTTTTTTTTTTTGAGACAGGGTCTTGCTATATTGCTGAGGTTGGTCTGGAACTCCTGAATTCAACCTGCCCTCAACCTGCCCAGGAGCTATGATTATAGGCGCATGCCACTGCACCCAGCCCAATGCTTTAAAAAAAACATTTTAATGTATATAAACTGTTATAATTACTTTGACTCAGGAAATTCTTTATAGGTGGTAAGTCCTTTCCTAGAAATCAGCAATGTTTGTCTACTATGTCCTGAGAAAGGTGCTTATTGATTAAGCAGCTAAAATGAGTTTGTGGAGCTCTTATGGAAACCAGCCTATTTAAAATATGTAACCAAAGAAGGAATTTTAGTGCCTACAATCTTGATGTGCAACTTCTAATAATTGGAAGACACAATTTCAGAAAGAAAAAAGGCCTAGAAGCCTTTGTAGCTAATTTCATCAATGCAAATAATTTTTTTTCAGAATCCCCTAAGTTCTCAATAGATACAAATTAGGTCAGTACTGGGATGGGAAACACCAGAGCAAAACCTAGGATATTTACAGGATGGGAGAAGGAAAGGCAGGTGAATGTGCTGCAGGGCAAATAAGCGACAAATAGATGTTGATGCTGCTAGGAGCTGCTCTCTTCTCTCTAAATCAGTACCAAGTCCTTGGTGATCAGGGCATCTGTTCTGTAGCACGTGCTGATTTTTGTGGGATTCATCAGATCCCAGTTCCAGCCGATGATGTCCATTAAAGGTTCTATGGCAATTTCCAAAGGAGTCAATTTCAAGTTATGTATCCTTACTAAATGCTTTTGTTGACTCATTTTGTGCCTGTATAACCCTCTCTTTGCAGTGTCACTTGCAGTATTCTTCATAACCCTTCCTAAACTTCTGTGTTCTTGATGAGTTTTTCAACCCATGCCCTCCCCCCTGGGCCCAAGGGTGGGTGCACTGCAGTGGTGGATGAAGTGATTGCCATATACTGAACAGAATAGAGGAGCATATCTTCCTAGAATCCCAGCACCTGGAAAAAAAAATCATTAAAATCACCACAACAGAATAGAGTGAAAACAAAGAAGGGGAGGAAGGTGGAGAAATAGAAATACATACCGGGTTAATCATCAGGCAAAAGCTTAAGCAACAGCTCCTGTACTCCCCTGACCTGTCAGGAAAAGAAAAGTTTATAGAGTACTCTGTTATGAGAGTTCTAATACAATGAGAAATGACTAAGCAATATGTGTACCATTAAATGATGCTGTATCTGCCACAAGCGAGAGTTGTTATCCATGTAGCGCTCCTCTGGGTAGAGTTGCCACATGAGAGGTAGCTGGGAGGTTAGAAGATGACTTGGCCTAGCTGCATTACCTAAGGGAACCTGAATTTGCTGGACTCGTGCCCTTAGGAAACTTGTCTCCTAATGGAAGAGAATGATTAAAAAAAAAAACACACACACACACACACACACAAATATTTCAGAATATTGAGACTGGTTAGAAACCAAGTTACTTGAAAGCAAAATCAAAGAAATAAGCAAAATGAAAAGTTACCTCTTCCACAACGGCCACCCATGTGCGCTGGTATTCGTCGCGGTAGATACCCTCTTGGTGAACCCAGAGGTGATCGGGTGGAGCCCCCACATCCTCTCCTGCCATTCTGGGCTTTGGGTTCCAATTCTAGCCCTGCTTTTCTCCACCTAAGCCTGTAGCACCCGTGCACAGGACACAGGTGTGACTTTTGGGGTTTGAATAACTCACCAGTGAGTAAGGTGCCCTGTGACTAGGAACCATCAATCAGAACCAAACCCCATAGATGTCTATTTGCACAGCCTAAATAGAACTAAGGACATCTGAAACTTTCTGCAAGACTAAAAGTGACACTGAGGAAACATTCAGGCAAAGCCTCAGGTAATGCTAACTGTTGACTGCAAAGCACTCAAGAATTCGAAGTGAGTTTCGTGGAAACCTAGGATAAGCAGTACAGGAGGCTAGGTACTGGTCTCATATTCTTTGCATTCACAAAGAAATGTCTGACAAAATGTAAGCAATAGAGAATGCACAGGAGAGTGCCTAAGGATGCAGTATTTTGGCAGGAAGTCAGTAACATGGACATATGCATGCCATATTCCTTAGGTAAAAGCCACTTCCAAGCAGTTTCCATTTTAATAAATGTAAGATTCTGAACCACATGCATGGATTTCTAAACTGGAATTTAAAATTTAAGGACAAAGGACCTATTTATCAGATCACTAGAAAAGGTTACTTATATGGGGATTTCTAGATGATTTCCATGTTTGAAAAAATATTTAGGGTAGCTTCATGGAGTTTCTGAGCTGCAAGAGACTTTAGGGATCATGGTGATGTAGAGCTGAGTGAGAACAAATCATAGTTATCCATCTAGATCTTTGTTTCATTTTAATAATGCTGCAAGATGTTACAAGAGTCCATTTTTTTCCCATTGAGGCATAGGTTTAAATTTTTATCTCCCAAGCCAGAAAAGCCCCTCTACCCTTTGAGAGATCTAAAGGAAGCACAATTCCCAAAATATTTGGGTGGCAGGACAAGCTCTTTGCATAACAATCCTCTGCCCAGGCTGGGATCTCATTTTAGGAACTTACAATAATTTGAGATGCATTTTGCACGAATGAATCTTTTTGTCCTAACTCAGCATTGTGGCATAGTTTCAAAGGTAAAGGTCTACCTTTTTCAGAGAAGATAGGGCAATGGGGAATCTGTTCCACTAAACAAAGACCTCCTATTCACATTAGGTGGCCATTAGGTGGGAAAGAAAATGTAGCATAGCTTGGGAGGTTGTTAGAGCCTTCAGAGTGAGATTGTCTAGAGCAAACCAGATGTCAGAACTCATATGATGCAGGAACAGGAAAAAGTCAGAAATAAGAATTAAACTAAACCAAGCCCTCTTTTACAAGGATAACAATCTGAGTCTGATTTTTTCCTTAATAATGTTAAGTTTTCCTTTCCTAAAAAGGAAAATAGAAAAATACTTTTATACAGGTAAGGAATGGTTTGACTTTTGTGAATAATTTGAGAGCATCACAGTTGTTTCACCCACCATACCCTGAGTAGATCTGATTCTGAGCCTGGCGTATGCTGCTGTTTTCACATGAATGTGCTTCCTCATTTCAAACTCATTAAAGATGAAACTCTTTCACCTTAACCAAATCCTGACAATAGTTCTCCTGATCCTGTACACTCAAAACTTACAAATTATCTTGGATTTCTTCTTCCTTCTTCTTCTTCTTCTTCAATTCTTATATCCTATCTGTCACCTATTCCAGCAAGCACCACCACTACCACTGTATTCAAAATAAACTTTCCCCCAAATACCATGTTCATTTCAAGCTTTATACTTTTCATCTTCCTTCCGACTTGTCTAAAATACATAAGTCTCTATATTTTAAAGCCATTTTTTCCATATACCAGATAACAATCATTCTGCTTCTCTTCCCCAGAGCTTTGGAAAGAAAAGTCACAAACAATATCCAGTATATGCTATTATCAAAATAAAAAGTTAAAACCTTGATTTTGAGCACCAAAAACAAAAACAAAAAAAAAAAAAAAAAAAAAACCATAATTGTTGCCAATATATTTTTTTTAAACTAGAAGCCAAGTGTTAAGGGTTTCAGGACCATATCAACTTCATAGATCCTATCACAACAACACATTAATGTTTAAATTTCTTTTGAATGAAAACAAATTTATATTGGATATACTATATTAAAGTAAAATAATTACAGTGGCAGAGAGGGTAAACAAATTGGAGATGATGTTTTGAGTTACTATGAATCAGTACAAAGGGTTCTTATGAGTTACTACAAAATATTCTCAGAAGAAAGGCAATGTGCTGTGTTGCCTTGACCCAGAGGTTAACATGCTGGGCACTAGGCAAGATAAGCCTGGAAACAAACCTCAGAACATTACCCTGAACTTGGGCTTGCTACGAATCAGAAAGCATGGTGACTCAGAGAAAGACAACAGCAGTGATCAAGGGACAGAGAAGCCACCATAACCAGGAATGAACAACATTCTCAGTAGAGAAATGCAAAGGCTGAGCAAGAGGAATCAGATCAAAGCCTATAAAAATGACAAGCTGTATGAATGGAACACCATTTCCTTAAACATGATTCTTAGAACACTTGTTCTCAACATTTTCCTTAGTCAAATAATTTTGGGAATATTGGAGAGTGATACTACCACAGCAAAAGCTCCAGCAAGTTATGCAGTAAAAAAAAAAAAAACAAAAAAAAACAAACAACAACAACAAAAAAAAACTATGCTGTTTAATGTTTCCCAAATTTATTTGACTAGTGATTTTGGGGTTTTTGCATAGATCCTTGTTCACAAAATTTAGGACTCCTTGAACCAAAATGGTTAAAACTTCAAGATAAACTTAGGTACAAGGTACAAAACAATACAGAGAATATAAACCTTTGCAATTCAATTCAAGCAATATAACCATCTGCAAATAAAAAAGTATTTTAAAATGTTTAGATATATTTATAGCTATGTTATCCACTAAAACAGATTTTCCCCAAGGAGGTTACATTGACACCAGAGACCATATTAGCCTAGACAGATTATTTTTAGGCATTTTGTAAATTAGGTTCTAAATGGATAATATATAATCTAGAAGAGCTTCCTTAGGTAGTGATCTAAGTAAAACCATCACTTTTTTTCCTTTAGAGAATAACTGTTTTGTGCCTTTTATGAAAAATATAATTTGTTTAAATTTTCAGATGTTTGAACAGTTTTTAAACATTAATCAGTTGAATATGCATATTTTATTTGAAGTCTTTTAATAAACTCATCTAATAACATTGGGTGAAATTATCAACAAACCCTCAAATCAGCCTGACCTGTGTATGATCTGTGATTCTGTAAGTCATAAACTTTGTGACTGTGGACAAGTTAACTTCTCTCCATCTCAATTTCCTGAGGTGTAGGATGAAAATTATGTCTAGCACATAATAAATTTGCTATAAATGTTAATAGTTTTTTTGCACTCCATTAAAAGTTTGGAGGTGTAAAAGGTAGGCATAAGAATTATAAAAGTTAGTTAATGTCATTCTGTTATGAGATTGACGCCCACAACAAAAAGACATGTTTTTCTCTTTGAAGATGCCTAAATAAACTTTATAAATTCAAAATATCCCATTTGAACAAACAATAACGAGAAGAATAGCTGTTGCTGTCCCATCAGGACAGGGTGCACTAGCCATATACAGTAACTGAAAATAATATATAACATAAAATGAAAACTTAAGAGAAAATGTTGATAGTTCCAATGTAATCGTACAGTTGGAAAATTTTCCAACCTTCAGTATTATCAAAATTTATCACGGAAAGCTGTGCCATGTGATCTTTAAGCATTAGGTAAAAATGGAGGTTGCTGGCATGTACATTACAGCTAGTTCACTGATTTGGAGCCCTATTTGTTGGGAAACTTGGGTTGGAACTGACTTGGGAGAAAAGAGCATAGCATCAACACCTCTTCAAGTAGCAGCTTGGGAATGTTCCCTTTCCAGTACTGCCATATCTGCCTGTCTACAGAAATACACAGGAAATAGAAAATCAAATCAGAAACATAAACGCGGATGGACTGTGGAGGCAACATGGCATGTAATTTTCTTTTATATAGAATCGTTCCTAAAATCCTCGTATAAACTTGTGACTTGGAAGATCTGTACTTTTAACCCTGGCACGATGACATACCGCAAAATAAAATTACTTTCATAATGTAATTTTACAATGTCTGGTACCATTGAGACAAGATCTGAGGAAACTTGTTTTCTGGATATCTGATGTGATATATCCGAACGTGAATACAACCTGAAGTCCCCTAATTCCTCTTCCCCGTATCAAACAAATAGATACCTAAAAGCCTTTGTAAAAAGTAGCAGCAGCCAAGCTCAAGAGTGATACTTTTTTCAGATACAGTATAGCACTGTTTCTGCAAAAGGTTACTCACATGAATATAACGTTTCTTGGGCTAATTTCTCCGCCACGAGAACAGCTAGGCTAAAACTTCCAGGTCTCCCACCCCGGGCCACTCGAACCAAGATCGTGACGTGAGCCCGGGAAAAGCCGAGGGGCAACCCCAACCGAGGTCACTAAAACTGAAGTTGCAAGGCGCTGGCCGGCAACCGGAAGTAGTCCAGGGAGAGTTGTACGAGATTCATGGGCTGTGACTTGGAAATAAAACAAAATAAAACAAAACCTTAACTGTTTTAGGACCGACTTTCAAAAGAGCGTCCCTCTGGCTCAAGAGGCCGGCGTTCGCGGAGATGTCGCCTCAAAGGGCTGTCCCCAAAGCGTGTAGGCCGCGCACCGCGCTCCTCAGCGGGCGGGCAAAATGGGCGCCGGCGCTCAAGAAGCGCCTGCCCAGGCGCCCGGGCGCCGCTCACAGACCACTCCGCCTGAGGATGGAGAGCGCCGCCTCCCTGCCGCCCCCGCCGCGGGCCGGATACCGCGACCTCCGCCAGCCACCGCCCTTAGCCCCAATGGCCACGCCTGCCCCAACCGGCGCGGGCGTTTCCCAGGTGCTGCTGGGCAGGCCCCGCCTCCGCCCCAAGCTCCGTCCCCAGGCAACCACCAGCAGTCCCGCTCCCACAGCCCCCCCGCCCCCACGCGCCCCCAAGCTCCGCCCCCGCGGAACCCGAGCGCGGAAGGCCAGGCCTGGGAGGAGCTCAGAGCGCCGGTTGCTGGAGAAGCTGAGCTGGAGCACCCGGTTGGTCAGGCCAGAGTGGGCCCGAGGCGGACGTGAACAGGGTCGGATCAAGATGGCGGTGCAGGTGGTACAGGCGGTGCAGGCGGTTCATCTCGAGTCTGATGCTTTCCTAGTTTGTCTCAACCACGCTCTGAGCACAGAAAAGGAGGAGGTGATGGGACTGTGTATAGGGGAGGTGAGTAGGTCATTCTGCGTAGCTGGAACCCTGCTAGCAGTCCCCAGTAGTCCCTGAGGCGACTGGTAGGCCACAGGAACCTATGACTTAGATCTTTGGACATTTTTTAGGTGGCTCAATCGCGGTGGCCTTTTCTTCTTGTCGCATGACACTTGCTCATCCTCCTGCAAGCCCTCAGCGATTTGCATAAACCCACGGGGTTGGGGACTTGCTTCAGAGATGATCACCCATTGCCCAAAATTGCAAGTCAGACCAGAAATACATTTGAGTGGGATGAAGGCTACAAAGTATATGAAGCAGACCTGCAGACCAGGGTTAGAGCCCCTTGCTTTGCCACCAGCCTTCCTTCTAGAGAAGTGGAGGTACCGAGAAAGCGAGAAAGCTGTTTAAAGCGTCGCAAAGATCCTAAGAAAGAAGAAACCCTTTCAGAGACTCGAAAGTTTTCTTTGTGTTGCAGAGGAGAGAAAGTGGATGAGGAAATACAATTCAGCTGTTTATTCTATAAATTCTCCAGTCTTTCTTGTTGATATGTATGAACTCATGACCTAATTTTCATATAATCTGCATCCCTGTAATCAAATAAGCATAATGTGATCAATAATATTTTCTGCTCTTTTCCACTCTAGTTGAATGATGACACAAGGTAAGACCTTTTGTTTACTCATATTTTATTATCTCTAAGGCATTCTTAAATAAAAATTATGACAGGTTTGGCAGTATTGTATATTGATTGGATCTTAAATTACCTTTATGAGTCTGGAACTCTATCAGTGATACACTTTGAGTTCCACCCCAACTCTGAAGGTTCATTTCCACCTTATTTCTTACTAGAAGGATTTTCAGTTGAGATGTATATGCCCTTATGTGAAAGACATAGTGGAGGAACCAAAATCATAAGTGAATGTATGAAAGCACTCATAAATAGAATCTTATTAACTGCAATAAAGGCAACATATTAACAACACTACCAGTGTATTTACATTTGGTACTATTATTTTTCATTTTCTTGCTTGATGTGTTTTCATTTGCTATTTTCCCTGCAATGCCAGTAACACGCCAGTATTTTTCTTTTTATCTGATATTTTATGCGTTTAGGGCTTTCCCCCTGTTAATCCAAATTCCTCTCTGTGTAAATGGTCAGTGGCCTTCTCCTTGGTGGCCCCTACAGTGATCCCAAAGATCTATAATAGCTTGAATGCTATTATAGCTTTTCAAAGTATAGTTTAATGTATTTCTCAAGCCCACCTCATATCTCATATATATATATATATATATATATATATATGTAATCTTAGTTATTGATAGACCTTTGTTTTTATTTATTTATTTATATGCAGTGCTGAGGATCAACCCAGTGCCTCACATATGCTAAGCTAGCACTCTACCACTGAGCCACAACCCCAGCCCACCTCTTTAATAGTTAGAAATCTTCAGCTCAGTTCACTTTCCCTCCTCTTTTGTTTCTACTAAGTTCGCATTGCAAAAACTGTTAATCCTGTTATTTTGCTTTAACTTCCATTTTCTATTCCAAACCTTAGTTTCTTTTTTTCCCTAATTTATCCCCAGTAGGAGTGACTCCAAATTTGCATATACCGGAACTGAAATGCGCACAGTTGCTGAAAAGGTATTGTGCTAGAATACTGCATGACAGAAAGTTGTAGCTGGGGAGGGATATCTCTATTCTCTATTCTGATGACCTCAGGAGAATATTAATAAATTTTATAGCTGCGTAGGATGTTCTTTCTAATGAAATCAGACAAAGAATTCACTCATTGAAAATGGAATGTAATTCATTGTTCTTTGAGGCAATTTATAATACTTGATCAGAATGAATAATCACTATCATACCACCCTTTTCCACTCCTCCTTGCCATTACTGCCTTCATTATGGCCCTTTCTTTAAGATTTTGACATCTAGTTCACATTGTTTGTTATCTCTTTATCCCGTGTCTCAATATCTGCTCATGCAATCCCTCTGTTCTCAAATACAGACCATCCATAGTGTCATAGTTATTAGTCCACTTTGGCTTTTCTCCTGTCTTCACTCCCACCCCACCTTTTTGCCATGCTCTAGCCTAATCATGGTATAATGTTAATTCCCCCAATATATCACACACCAATTCTTTTGTAAAAATATAATTAAAATGAATCACTTCCTCCTAGCTATTAGGTAAAAACCCCACTTACTTCTTATTCTTATATACAAACTTCTCAACTCTAAGCATTAGCCTCCTTTCTTCTTCTATGAAGAAAAAAAAACCCTCTTCCTATTCAGAGCTGCAACTTACTCATAGACTTTTCTGGATCATCAGTCTTTTCATGTCACCTGGCTCTTTTCCCTTAGGATACAAATACTCATGTTTAAGTTACTCTCATTTTCAGAAAGGAAAAAAAAAAAAAAAAACAAAAACCCTACTCGGTCCTATATCTTGCTATAGAAACTATTCTACATACTTCCTTTAATAGCTAGACTTCTTTCTTCTTTTTTATGGGTGTGTTACTGGGGATTGAACCCAGGGGCAATGAACCACTGAGCCACATCCCCAGCCCTTTTTATTTTTTATTCTGTGACAGGATCTCACTAAGTTGCTTAGGACCTCACCAAGTTGCTGAGGCTGGCTTTGATTCTGAGCTGCTGGAATTATAGGCATGCACCTGGCAATAGTTAGAGGTCTTAAAAGAATGGTCTAATATAATTTCTTCACCTTCCCCAGTCAAACCCACTGCAGACTGGTGTCCAATTCTACCTCTCCAGCTATCTCCTCGTTGCTGCATCCAACAGATTATTTCTTGATACTTCTCTTTCTCCCTGAAACTCTGAACTCTCCTGGGTTACTGATTTGTTTCTTTTACTCATTTTCCTTTCCCCAACCTTTATGGACCCTTCCTCCTCTGTGTGTGCATTAAATGTTGCTCATTACTTTTAGGCACTGAAACCTTCTCTGATGAGAGAGAGTGTTTGTGTGAATTGGTTTACCCTGAAAATATATTCTAAATCTTAATAATATGATTTTTTCCCCAAGAGTTCATGACCTCATCTTGAATTTTGTATAAATTTGTACTGTTCAAATTAGATATTAAGCTTAATGAATTTAGAAGTCTTGTCTTTTTAGCTAGTGTTGGCATCTTTTTTTTTAATCTATAGATGCTTCTTGACTTATAATTTGGTTATGTTCCAGTAAACCCATTGTAAGTAAAATATATTGAGGCCCAAATTACATTTAATACACTTAAGCTAGCAAATATCATTGCTTAGCAACATAGTACACTGTAGAATACCTGTTGTTTCCCCTGTTTGTGTCACTGATCGCAAATTACAGCTCCTTGCTGCTGTCCAGCATTGCAAAAGAATATCACATATTGCTAGCCTGGGAAAAGATGAAAATTCAAAGTATAGTTTCTAGTGAATGTTTATTGCTTTTATACCATAGTCAAGTTGAAAAGTCCTAAGTTAAAATAATTGTAATTTGAGATCATCTGTACTAGAATCTTAGGACATTTTATTTTCATGTATACCCTCCTGCCTTTTAGATTATTGCTATCCTGCATTTTAATTTTATGAATATTTAAGCCTCTTGTGACATTGTGATAAATGTTTCACACAGTTAGTATATATTATATATACCCAAATGTTTACTCTTTATGGTGTTCATCATTCCTTTCTTCATTTCTGGGATTTTCTTTCTGCCTGAAGAATTCTGTGCTGGTAATGAATTCCCTCCATTGTGCATCTGAAAATGTCTTTATTTTTCCTTCATTTTTGAAGGTTTTATTCTATGTATAGGATTCTTGATTTGCAGATATTTTCTTGTAGCTCTCATAAGATGTCATTCTGTTTAGCTTTCAAAAGTCAGCTATTTGTCTTATTGCTCCTTGAAAGGTTATAAATCTTTTTATCCCTGCTTTTAGTTTTATTTATTGTGGACAATGTGGTTGCTAGACACAACAAATAGTTGCTAGTGATAGAAAATAAATAAAATGAAGTCCCTGCTCTTAAAGGAAATTGCATTTTAGTAAGGGAGGAAATTGTATAAATAATAACTGTGGGGTGGGCATGGTGGTACACGCCTATAATCCCAGCAGCTCAGGAGGCTAAGGCAGGAGGATGGTGAGTGCAAAGCCAGCCTCAACAATGGAGAGGTGCTAAGCAACTCAGTGAGACCCTGTCTCTAGATAAAATACAAAATGGGCTGGGGATGTGCCGATGTGGCTCAGTGGTCAAGTGCCCCTGAGTTTAATCCTTGGTACAAAATAATAATAATAATAATAATAATAATAATAATAATAATAATAGGGCTGGGGTTGTGGCTCAGTGGTAGAGTGCTCACCTAGCATGCACAAGACACCAGATTCAATCCTCAGCACCACATAAATGTAAAATAAAGATATTGTGTCCACCTAAAACTTAAGAATAAATATTTAAAAATAATAATAATAATGTGTACATATGTGTGTTATAAAAGAAGTCATACATGGTAGAAAACACTTCTTTTTTTTTCATTTTATTCTTTTTTTGGGGGGTGGTACCTCAGATTGAACTCAGGGGCACTTTTGTATTTTATTTAGAGACAGGGTCTCACTGAGTTTCTTAGCACCTCACTGTTTCTGAGGCTGGTTTGAACTTGTGATACTCCTGCCTCAGACTCACGAACTGCTGGGATTACAGGTGTGCACCACTATGCCTGGCACAATTCTTTTTTTTTTTTTTTTTAGTAGGATTATCAGGAAACTTAAAAGAATTTAAAAGGTCCACAAAGTGAAAAAAGGCTGAAAAACAGAAGGGAAAGTGTGAAAAGGCACACAGCCATGAAATGGGACCATAAATAGGGAACTACAAGTAGCTGAACTTAAAATCTTTGAGATGCTTTACAAAGGTACTCTTAATTGCTTTTCAACAAATCATCACTTGAACAGCTTTTTATTTATTAAAGAAAATGTGTATTGGGCTGAGGTTGTGGCTCAGTGGCAGAGCACTTGCCTAGCACATGTGAGGCACTGGGTTTGATCCTTAGCACCACATAAAAATAAAGAAAGAAAGAAAGGCAGGCATGCTGTCCATCTACAACTATAAACAAGATTAAAAAAAGAAAAAGAAAATGTGAGGGGACTGGCTCAGCGGTAGAGTGCTCACCTCACACTTGCGGGGGCCCTGGATTTGATCCTCAGCACCACATAAAAATAAATGAGTAAAATAAAGGTATTGTGTCCAACTAAAACTAAATATTTTTTTTTAAAAAGAAAATGTGAATTAATTCAAAGAACTGTCAGCATTTGATAATGCAAAGTTTGTCTAAATACTAACTTTTATATTTTTGTTTCTGAAATATGTATATCGAGGAAGGATTTCTTTATTTGAAACATTTCATTTTTCATGAGAAAAGTGTCAGTTTCCTGAAAGGGAATCTTTAACCTGATATCATAATAAAATGCAATCCTATAACTAATTGACAGGAGATTGGAGAGAGAAGTGTTACTGGCCAGAGACAGAAGTAATGATTTCTCTGGGTTTTCCTTTAGGTTGACACCGTCAGAATTGTTCATATTCATTCTGTCATCATCTTGCGACGTTCTGATAAGAGGAAGGACCGAGTAGAAATTTCTCCAGAGCAGCTATCTGCGGCCTCAACAGAGGCAGAGATATCCTTATTGATCTAAAAGAATCTCTGGGGCTTCTGTGCCACATTGATTTGTTTGCTGCAGGCATCTGACTTTAGGTGGTTTCACAAATTTTCTTCCTGATAACTATTCCCCAGTTTTCACATTTACCCCTCAGATGCAATTGTTGGGTTAATTAGAATTTCTATTTCTCCTTTTGAGTGGCTTTTATTGGAAGAATTATATATTTATGCTCCTAAATGTCAGAAGATTCCAGGGTCAAATATTATGACAATGAATTATATGGGGAATCCCCTTCACCTTCCTCCACATTCCCCACTCTCCCTTCTTTCCTTTGTGCCCCTCTTTCCTTTAGCTCAATAGCAGCACAAGGCTAGGTAAGTAAGAAAAAAAAAAAAAACAGAAACAAAAACAAAGAACAAGGCAATAGCACCAATTTCTATGATCCCATTTCTTTCTTCTCTTTCTCTCCCTCTCTCCCTCTCTCTCTATCTCTCTATCTCTCTAGCTCTAGCTCTATCTCTCTTTTCTTTTTTGGTACTGGCCCCTCCAGAGACATAACAATGATTATCAATTTTTCCTATATACTAAAATATATATGGATATTTTTCTTTCTGAAAAAGAAAAGTATTTAATACTTATGATAGCTTATGACATGCTGTATCCATCTTTTTTCACCTAACAGGGTATCATCAGATTTGTTCAATTCAATATACAGAGGTGCCTCATTCTGATGCCATCACTTATTTCACCTGTCCTTATGAATATGTTTTAAAGTGCAGCAATGAATAACCTTGTAGAGACAGCATTTCATAAACATGTGCATATCTATAGGATCAATTCCTAAAGGTACTTTTTATTTGTTCAAAATGCTTGTTTTTAAAGTTAATTGAAGTTAAAAATGGTTTGTTTCCAATGAACTGTTAATATCCAAACATGTTAAATTCTTTATTAGGAATTTATAATAAAATAAAGATATCAATAGTACTACCTGATATTTCAATAAAAATATATACACTATACAATGGCATCTAGGCATCTGTTCTTTTTATTATAGCATAATCTCCCAATCAGACATAGAAATGCAAAAGTAACAATGTTATTTTCTTTTTCCAATGTACTGGATTTAAGTTTCTAGAATTTATAACTCAAAATGTCTACACAAATAGAGTATTTCCTCTAAGAAATTTTATGTTATAATATAAAATTTGAAATTTGAAAAAGATGGAATTTTCTGAGTTACATATACAGCTTTTACATTCTTTTAGAATGTTTTTTTAAATATCAAAAATTATATATCCATAATACATGTCCTTGCTATTCACATAATTCTATAAGTAGTCATCAAGTGAACCCTTTCAATAAAACTTTATCTACAAATATTTAATATGCGAGACAAAATCATTATGAAAAGTTAAACTGCTACTATAGCTTTCTCATCTTCCATTTTATGCATTTCCTGCCAACCATGTAATTTCCTGTTCTAGAGGGATGTTGATATATTTTTTATGTTTTAAATCTCAACACTGCTGCTTTCCCAGATTGGTATAGCCATTGGTTCCAGGGTTTCTGAGTACACAATATTCACCCTGTGTATCAGATATAGCAGTGAAATCTGATACCAGTTCCAGTTATTTCAACTTTCAGAACTACCTTATTAGCTGCTTCCAAGGGATTTATGACTGCAGCTCTTCTTTTACTCATTTCAACAAAAATATAGTTGTACTTTTTCTTTTATATCTAGATGAAAGTTTAAATGGCATTTGTAATATAGCAATCTTGTTACTAGAAAGGTTTAACTGCCAATCAAAATCCTGTAGGTGTCCAAAGAAATTACCAATGATTTTTTATTGTTATCAATATGATGAGCAAAAATTGTGCTTATTTAAGAGTCATTTGTATTTTTATCTGAATTATCTGATTGCTTCCTTTGTCCTTTTTTCTATTGATTTCATAATATTCTTTTTGTTAATAGGGCTAATGTGGTCTTTTTCCTCTTTCCAGATTTTTATTGGTGCATTATTGTTGTACTTAATAATGGGATTTGTTGTTACAGATTCATACATACACAAAATATAACAATATAGTTTGGCTAATCTCACTCCTCAACACTTGATAATGTTCTTTTAATGACTTATAGGCACTGTATATATTAAGGAAATTAACATTTTGCTATAAGGGTAGTGATTTTTCTCAGTTTATTTATGGTATGTGTTTGGGTTTTCCCTAGTTAAGTTATTGCATTATTTTATATTTTTTTTTAGTTGTAGTTGGACACAATATGTTTATTTTATTTATTTATGTTTATGTGGTGCTGAGGATAGAAACCCAGGACCTCGCACATGCTAGGCGAGTGCTCTACCACTGAGCCACAATCCCAGCCCCAAGTTATTGCATTTTTATTTAGTCAAATTTATCAATTTCTAGTGTATATCTTGTATCTTGGTTTTTTAATTATTTCTTTTTAAATAATTATGGATTCATGAGAAGTTAGTGAAAGTTCTCTGTGTGGGTTGGTGCTGTGCCTCAGTGGTAGCACACTTGCCTGGCATACATGAGGCACTGGGTTCGATTCTCAGCACCACATAGAAATAAATAAAATGAAAAGTCTATCAACAACTAAAAAAAAAATACATTTAAAAAAAAAGTTCTCTGTAACATTAATCTGGTTTCCCCCGAAGGTTATATTTTACACAATTGTGGTATAATAAACCAGGGCATTTACATGGATAGAATGTATATAATTGTATGCTATTTTGTCACATGTATAGATACATGTAATCACTACAGCAGTCAAGATACAAAATTGTTACATCACTACGAAGATCCCCTTCATGCTGCCTTTACAGACAAACCCATGTTCTTTTTGCTTACCAGCCCTATCCCCTAGCAACCACTAATCTTTTGTCTCTGTCCTCTCTATGAGTTGCATTTTCCTGCTGCTTTGTATCCCTGGTATCAGACGTCCCGTTCCACCTTCTTCCTGGACCGCTGGGTATTTCTGTATTCCTAGACAGAGCCCTGAGCTGTGTGCTGGGATGCTGTTAGAGTGACTTGGAAAAGTTTTTTTCCCTCTGGGTCTTGCTTTGAGGACGAAGGACATGAGACCAGGGCAGCTCAGTGTAGGAGACATATTTCTGCGCTGACAGGGCACGGCCCTCGTGAGTGCCCTGCCTGATGCCTCCCTGACAATGTGACCTTCCCCACCTGGTGGGTGGGGAAAGCTGCTGGTCTCTTTCCTCCCTGAGTGCTGTGCAGTTACTTGCATCCTCTTGAGGGGCAGAGCCTTTCCCAGGCCTCAGGTAGTTTCCTCACGTGCTTGTGCTCCCCTGTGGTCTGCTGAATACTCACATGGGACACACTGGGGATGTAGGGTTCTCTCCCTCTGCAGTTCCCTTCGCTCTGGTTCTCTGCCCTGGAAAGCTCCACCTGTCTAGACTCTGTGGCTCATCTCCTAAACTCTGGATGGTCCACTCAGCTCCACTTTAAATTCCCTCCTATTCCGTGGCCTGGATGTCTTCTCAAGGGCTCACCTTATTCATTTCTCATCTGTTGGCCTTCTTTGCATGATGATCATTGTCTTGAAAATGGTTGGTTCATATATGTTGTCCAGTGTCTTTGTATCTGGCTTGGCTAGAAGCAGAAAATCTATTCATTGGTATTCAAAAAACAAAGGCAAACTTGGGCAAAGTAAAAATTCCTAATTGTGTAAAAAAGATGTTTATTATTGGAAACACATATTTTACTTTCAAACTGAAATGAGCCCATTTCCAAAATTGGGTGACAGGTAGATACATTGCTCCACTTTAACATTATAATCACCATTTATTAAGTATTTTCTAGGAGCCAAGTTCCATGCTAAACATTTCCACTGTTGTGTAAAAGCATGTTTCTGCACAGTGTACAACAGAAGAAACAGGCTAAGAGAAGTTAAGTAATTTCTCTTGGCATTGGAACATTTAAAAATGCATTTAAAATATTGTTCTCAGGTTTAGTTGTATGAATAGGATTATTGTGTTTTAGTATAATTTGTAGAAAAATTAATCAACATCTTATAGTACAGCAGCAGTAGTCTTGAGAAAATTTTTTGAGTAATATTCTCATGTTTGAACTTAAGATAGTTATTGGAAACTTTTATTTTTATAACAAAAGAGGAAGATATTCTTTTAGGGGGATGTTTCTAAATAAGTAGGGAGAATTAACTGGGGTTTTTGCTCTTTGATCTCTGGATTCACTGTATTTGCTGTTGTTCACATTAATAACCTAGCTGGGCATGTGGCACATGTCTATAAAATCCCAGTGGTTCAGGAGGCTGAGTCAAGAGGATCTCAAGTTCAGAGCCAGCCTCAGCAAGGGCAAGGTGCTAAGCAACTCACTGATACCCTGTTTCTAAATAAAATATAAAATAGGGCTGGGGATATAGCTCAGTGATCGAGTGCCCCTGAGTTCAATCTCCAGTACCAATACCACCACCACAAACCACAACAAAAACATTAACAACCTGCCAAAGAGAAATCAAATGAATAAAACAAATTGTTAGGCTGAGGGGTAGAGTACTGAAGTGCTTGCCTAGCATGAATGAGGCCCTGGGTTGGGTTCCATCCCCAGCACCAAAAACAAACAACCTTTGTGTTTCTTTTTTCAAAAATGGAAGACACAAATTGGTGTCAATATACTTTACATACAACCAGAGATATGAAAAATTGTGCTGTATATATGTAATAAGAATTGTAATGCATTCTGCTGTCATTTATTTTTTTTTAAAAAATCAGTTAAAAGATGGAAGTAAACCAGAACTAGAGAGACAGGACAGAAGATTCAAGCTGATAATGTAAGTGACATCTGAGGATTTAAATAAGCTTCTTTTCATATAACAGTGGTAAGGATTTGAGTGACCAAACATTAGCTAAATCGGATTAGGAGGATTTACATCAACCTTATTTCATTCTTCTGTTGCACTTAAATTGTAATGGCTTCACTTTAAATTTTAGGATGCTTTCTGAGCCCTTAGTTTCCACCTTTTGAAAATACCTTGACAAACACACAGGTTGGCTGAATTAACAGGTCGCCCCATGAGAGTTGTGGGCTGGTATCATTCCCATCCTCATATAACTGTCTGGCCTTCACATGTTGGTGAGTATTATGGGGTTGTAGCATTTATTATCTTCAGAAATGAATATCATTTTTCCTTCATTACATAAACCATGGCTGTTTTAAATCACAAATTAATTGACTGTCCTTAAATAGATGTCATTCTTTTGATTTATTTTCCATGTTTTAAAAAGTAATGATTCATGTCATTTTTATTAGTGAGAGGGAAATTTTCAGTATTCAATTTTTATTTCTATTCAGGAAATCAAGAATAAAGCCCAACAATGAGCTGATATCAAAAGTAATGTAACTGAAATTGCTGATTGCTATCTAGTACATGCCCATTCTGAAGGCTCACAGGTGTAAAGTGTTAATTTAGCAAAATTGGTTTTTACAATCTCTGTTTATACATAATCAAGTTTAGCTGTTGGGACTATATTCTCACTCCTCTAATTAGTATAATGTAACTAAATTGCTTTTACTCTTTTTACCAACCTTTTTCTTGCAAATCATGATTGATTTTTGTCTTTTTCTGACACTCTAGAAAGAAGTAGAATAACTACTTGGTGGGTTAAGTAAGTGGCAGAACTGAAGTTAGAACCTGTATCATCTATATCACTAAGCACATTGTTTAGTTCAGTTTTTTTTTTTTTTTCCTTTAAGAAGGCTTTCTCAGGCTGTAGCTCAGTGGTAGAGTGCTTGCCTTGTACACGTGAGGCTCTGGGTTCGATCCTCAGCACCACATAAAAATAAATAAATAAAAATAAAGATATTGTGTTCATCTACAACTAAAAAAATATTTTTTTAAAAAGAAGGCTTTCTCACTGAAGAAAGCAGTACATTAATTGTACTCTATAGTTCAAGTTCCTTAGCTCCTTGGGAATAGGTAACAAATAGTTCAGAAATTTGAGTAGCACAGCATTGTTTTAAGACAACCAAGTTAAAGTGTCACGTAGATGATTGAAGAGATTAAAAAGGTAAGGCCATGGAACTAGATGAAATTCCTCAGTGAGTGAGGGCACATAGATTCAAAGACAGAAAAGTGAGCCATGACAATATTTTGAGTGGAAAGATAAGAAGAACCCAGCAAAACAGATTGGAAAAGATCAACCAAGACATTAAGAGAACAGGTAGAAAGAATGAAAACTGAGGAGGGAGTGATCAGCTGAGATACCAGGTAAATTGAGGACCAAGAATAGATTATTAGTTACCTTGACAAAAGCAATGTGAGTAACATGATAGGGACAGTCAAACAGTATTCTGCTTCTATCTAGAGGTTAGGAAATAATTGACAAAAAAGGGGTGGGGGTAAGGAGAGAAAAAGCAATTTTCCATGGTCATGTATAAAATGAAATGGAATTAATGCCCAGGAAGTACCTTTGATAGACTAGGCATTGTGCTAAAAGTAAAAAGTCTTGCAATTTTAAAAATATAAAACCCTGTGAGAGAAGGGATACTATTTATTATCATTTAATTCATGAGGATGTAAGCTTAAAGATATTAAGAATTTTACTCAGGTCATATAGCAATACAGAGATAATTTACACAATGTTACATTTTCAGTGATGTTTTCAGCAAATATTTACTTCATTTTCACTCTTGGGTGCTGTTTATTCTTGATCATTACTTGGGAATACATTGAAAAGTCCTAAGACAGATCAAAATGGCGAAAATACTAAAACTGTTGGCCAAATAGATTGCCAAAGTAAGACAGCATAAGTTACAAGACCCAGTTTTGCTCTGCAGTATTTTGTCATTATACCTGATCTTTTTTGTATCCTTTTTGCACAATGGCCTCAAGATTTCAGCTTTTCAAGTTAGCTTCTCTTTAGTTTTGGATATTTAATCTTTTAACTAGTCCTTATCTTCTTTTCAAAAATTGTGTAAATTTTAAATAGTGGGGTATTGTTTCTACTTTCTGGAATGTTTGATTCAATTATACTACAATAACTTATTTTTTTATTTTTAATTGTACATGGACACAATACCTTTATTTTACTTATTTATTTTTATGTGGTGCTGAAGATCCCACATATGTGTCCCACATATGCTAGCGCTTTACCACTGAGCTACAACTCCACACCCTGCAATCACTTCTATGATAATTTCTTCAAAGAAGTAGTTCTATAGTAGTTCCACATTTCCTGTATTTAGTAGCAATTCTAATATATTCACTGACATAGAAGCTATCCATCAAAAGACCTTTTTTTCCCTAAGAAATATTTTTGTCTCCTTCTAAAGCCTTTCTGTTTGAATCCCTGTGGAGGAAGTTATCAAGTTTGGCAAGGGTTTAACTGAAAGTTTTAATATTTTTATGATACATTTAAAAGCAGGACTATTCTTAGGATAGGCAACCTAGAGTTATTAATGTTTTATTACTTAATAGCATACTTTTCATGGTATTTCCTTAACCCAGCAAAAACATTTATACTTGGACAGTCATAGTATTCTTAGTATATATCCCTGTACTCACTATAGAATCTGAATCCTGGGAGAATTTCATACCACTATTATCTTTAAATGGAGTCTATGAAATACAATTTATTGACAGAATTTTTTTTTTCAGATGTTCGCACTCAAGCCATGTACCAGATGATGGATCAAGGTTTTGTAGGACTTATTTTTTCCTGTTTCATAGAGGATAAAAACACAAAGGTGTGTGTGTGTGTGTGTGTGTGTGTTTGTGTGTGTGTGTATGTGTGTTTCTACATAGAGTAGAGAAAAATCTCTTTGTAAAAATTTTAATAGGATGGCCAGGGAAATTTTCAATGAAAAAGGTTATTGAGTCAGGACCCAAAGAAGGTGAGGGAGCAAGTCTTGTGGATTTCTTGGGGGAAGAGCATTCCAGGCAGAGGAAATAGCCAGTGCAAAGACCCTAAGGTGAGTTTGACATGTTCAGGGAACATTGAGGAAGTTGATATGGCTGGAGCAAAGTGAAGAAAATCACAAATGTACATCCAAGTGTACGTCAGAGAGTCTTAGTTTTACACTATTACCCCAGTCTCCTATTTTCTTAGCCTCTTTTCATCTTGGGAGTATCTGGGTTTATATGATAACCCAGTTGGTTATTATAAGGTCTGAAAGACAATTGGGCCAGATCTTGTAAGATCTTCTATTTGACTCTCATTTGGGAAACCACTAGAGGGCGACTTTATGTTTTAATAGGATCTCTGACTACTGTATTGATAACTGACTAAATGGGAATGGAGGGTATGAAATCCATGGCATCAGTGAAACCAGATAGTCAAGAGATGATAGGGCTTTGATCATGTTGGTAGAAGTGGAGATAATGAAAAGTGGTGAGATTAGTTACATTCTCAGAATCAGTGTTAATAATGAATATTTTCCATGAAATCACTCTTTTCCAGAACATTAAAGTTCAATATCTAGAACTTTTTACTTCATTTGAAATGCTTTCTACATTGTTATCATAAGTATTTATTGAATGAGTTTGTCAGCTTCCTGCTGCAGTCTGGCTGGGCACAAAATCACGAGCCACTCACAGCCTTGTAGATTCAAACAGCAATTCTTTATTCCCGAACTCACACCGGCACTCTACAAACACGTTCTGTGCCAAATCCACGTTCTGGGCAAAATCCACACACTCCACCGGGCTCTGAATACCAAATACTCTCTGAATCCCGCGAGAACTCAATGGGAACTCAAGGAGCAGGCGCGCCTGAGGCAGCAGGATACGCCCTATTCCCAGCAGGGTACACCTTAAACCTGGAACCGCCCTAAACCCAAGGAGCGGGATACTCCCTAATCCCAGCAGGATACACCCTAAACCTGGATCCGCCCTGGTCCTTGAGCAAGGTCACCTTACATGCAATGCCACTGCAAATGACCTGGGTCATGCCATGTGTCATACCTACTTGGCAATGGCTCTCAGCAGCTTCCAACATAATTTGTTCTGATTCTTACTTTTTTCGGATTTCATATTTATTAGCAGTTGTATCACATGAGCAGATGTTTGGTTGTGACCATTTTATGTTGACAGAGTATATGTTCCCTCTTAAAGGAATTCATTTATGGCATATTCCATCTTCAGAATCTGTGTTAGTCTTCTACTTCCAGAAGGACCTTTGGGTTTTAGGTTAGAGTAACTAAATTGCTATGAAATTCTCAGTACATAAAAATGATCAGTCCTTCTTTCTGTGACTTTTTTTTTTTTTTTTAATAAACAGACTGGTCGGGTACTCTACACTTGCTTCCAATCCATACAGGCCCAAAAGAGCTCAGAGTAAGTATGACAGAGACATGTGTATATAATGACGGGTTAATTTCTCATTCAGGGAATTGATTGTTTCATTTCATTTTATTTCTTTCAGTGGTAATCATTAACAACTCTGTTTCTAGTTATATTTGCTAATGGTTTTATGAGGAATTAAAAGCTCTTAGCAGCTTGGATATTGAGTATATAGGAAGCTAATAAGAGGAAGACTGAGTATGCAGAGTGATACTGATTTTTATAGATTCTTGACTTTGCTATGCCATTAACTTGATTTCAGATTTACAGTTATCTCACTTAAATGTTTACATAACTTAATTTCTTCATTATAATTTAACTCAATTTAAATTAGCAAATCTTAATTGAATACTCGATATATGCCAAGCACTATGACAGACACCAAAGATACAGAGGCAAAAGACAAGTGTATTGTCTATTTGGGAGATGTAAGCAGATTATCTTAAATTTTTTTTTCTTGTAGTACATATCAATTGATTATAGCATTGTTTGAAGTAACAAAGAGTTGGGGAAAAGCTTAGATGTTTATCAGTAGAGAACTAATTAAATGAATTATGATTTATCCATATAAAACAACTATGATAAATCTTACTTGGAATACAGAAATCTCTAAGAAATAATGTGAAATGAAAAAGGCATGGTATAAGAAAAGTGTGTATAGTAGGCTACTATTTGCAAAAAGGTAGAAGAGAAATAGATGCACAAACATACCTGTATATTTGCTTATAAATACATCAGTCACTTCAGTAGATGGAAAGTGGGTATGAGGGAGTAGAGAGAGTGGAGAATTCATTATATACTTTTCATAGGTTTGGAATATGGAACCATACATAAGTGTTATCTTAGCTTGTTCTCCACTGTGACCAAAAGACCTGACAAAAACAATATAAAGGAGAAAAGGTTCATTTGGGGCTTGTGGTTTCAGAGATCCATCCATGGTTGGTCAATTCCATACCTCTGGGCCCCAGGTGAGTCAGAACATCATGGTGAAAGAGCATAGAGGAGGAAAGCAGCTCGGGACATGGCAAACAGAAAGCTGAGAAAGCTTCACTCTCCAGGGACATACTGTAAACCTCAAATGTACACCCTCATTGACCTACCACCTCCAGCCACACCCTACCTACCTATAGTTACTGCCCAGCTAATCAATATCTGTGGATTAATCCACTGATTAGCTTGTACCTCACTTAATCATTTCACCTCTAATAATTCTTGCATTATTTCACACATGAGCTTAGAGGGGATAATTCATATCTAAACCATAATAGTTATCTAATCAAGAAACATTAATTTTTTAAAATGTCAGCAAATGAATAGATAACATGCATAAAAATTAGGTGGTATAGAATGGCTTATAATAAATAGCCTCACTCCTCAAAAGGATCACTGTCTCTAATTTTGTTTTCGGGTCTTCTGATATTATCTTTGTTATCTCTAAACAGTATACTTAAACTCTTTTTTAAAAACTTTTTTCTTAGCTGTAGATGGACACAATATCTTTATTTTTATGTATTTCTTTTTATGTTGTGCTGAGCATTCTACCACCAAGCTACAACCCCAGCCCTTAAACTCTTTTTTGATTTACAAAATTTGGATAGTATTTATTATTATTAAGATAATATTTATCATCATCATCATCATCATCTTTTTAACTTGATCTCACAAATGAAGATTTACCCCACTTGCACTACCCCATCTCAATTCCGTTGGTTAGTTTTCTAATCTTAAGTTTGCCTTTTTTTTTTCTTTTTTTTTTTTTTTTTGGTATTGGGGATTGAACTCAGGGGCACTGCACCACTGAGCCACATCCCCAGCCCTATTTTGTATTTTATTTAGAGACAGAGTCTCACTGAATGGCTTAGTGCCTAACTTTTGCTGAGGCTGGCTTTGAACTATAAGTCTTCATATTCCCAGTTGCAAATACCTGTGTACTGCATTATAACCATAATTGTTTTGTCTATTGATTAATTGTAAGGGTGGGAAGTCAAGTGTTTATATTATGATGGTGTGAATATTATTCTCTGTACAATTAAGCAGTGTAAAGTAGTGTACTATGATTCCACTTCCTTTCTTTTACAGCCTTTTGTTTTTATTTCAAATTGCTTTTTCCCCTTATTTTTCTGCTTTTATCACCTTCCTGAATTCCAGATTCTTGATATTGTGACATTTTCTTTTATATTCCCAGATAAAATAATCTACAATCTACCCAGTTCATAGGAAAAATTCTTAGTTATAACTCAGTTTAGTTCCATAATTTAAACAGTTTCTTCAAGTTTAAATCAGTCTTTGAGGAGAGGAATTTCTCATTGCTTCAGTTACTTCCCTTACTTCTGCATTTGACTCTTAGATGACATCTGAAGCATTGGGGCATTGATTTAAGTGATCTATGCTATAGGGAAAGGAAGCTTCCTGGTCTTGTGCTGGTTGTGAGAATCAGGGTAGAAGTTAAGGTTAGTATTCTGCTTAACTTGTTCAATATACTTTTCTTTTGTGGACTTGCAGTCTTAGTAAGAGATACATCTCCAACTCCTCTCTTTCAGCTCTGTCCCTCTTCCTTATAAGCTATACAACAGGTCTATCACATCCTTTTTTTTTTTAATTCCTCCCCATTTTCCCTTTCTCTTTCTACTACTCTGATTGTTCAAATATTAAAGGTCCTAGATTGACCTTAGTAACACTTTTCACTTATTTTCTATCTCTTTTCTTCCAGTTTCTTGGGTATTTTCTTGACTCTTATTTTCTAATTCCTTCATTGATTGTTTTGTTTTGTTTTTTGAGACTGGGTCTCACTGTATTACCCTGGCTAGTCTCAAACTCTATACAAGGAATCCTCCTGCCTCAGCCTTCCCGGTGCTAGGACTATAGGTGTATGCCACTGCACCTATAGCCTTCATTATTTTTTTTGGTAAATTTTATGTTCTTAATTTCCCAGAATTTGGGCATTTAAACAACTTTCTTGTCTTTTTCCCCCAGTACTGAAGACACTCTACCAGTGAGCTCTGTTCCCAGCTGTTTTTATTTTGATCTAAGTTGCCCAGGCTGCCTTCAAAATTGCTGTCCTCCTGCCTAGGTCTCCCAAGTAGCTTATCCATCCATATTTAAGAACAAGGCAACAAAAAGCTCAGGAAGCTTCACTTTAGGGAGAAAGGGTTGGGAGCAAGATGTTTTATTCAGGTATCACTAAATGGTAGACTTAGATATCTTATTTTAAGACACAACTATTAATAACTGCTGTCATATTTCCTCACAGTTCATTACTTTTATTATAATTATTACTTAAAAGAACTCTTGATTCTGTACTGTTGTTGCTAATGATGATGATGTTGATAAAGCAACTCCATAAACTTGTTTATGAATATCTGGGCTCAAACTTGAGCAATGCATGGATCTGATCCTAATTCACATAATTGTGAACAGGATTAACCAATAGATAATCATACCCTAAAAATCCTGGGGTAGCGGAAACCCAGTTCTCCATTGAAAATAGGCAATGACCAGTATGCCCATGAAAAGATGTAAACATCACTAATCATTAGGAAAATACAAAGCAAAACACAATGATATACCACTCTAAAACCATAAGGATGATTACTATACTATAAAAAATGGAAAATAATAAGTGTTGGGAAGAATGTGGAGACATTTGAACCCTTGTGCACTGTTGGTGGGAATGGTGGTTCATCAGAAAATTAAGAATGAAATTATAATATGGAGCAGCCATTCTACTTCTGGCTATGTACACAAAAGAACTGAAAGTAAGATGTCTAAAAGATATCTGTACACCCAAGTTCATAGCATCATTATTCACAGCTAAAACATGGAAACAACCCAAGAGTCCCATACACAGGTGAATGAATAAGTAAAATATGATATATACATACAATGGACTATTATCCAACCTTAAAAAGTAAGAAAATTCTGCCATGTGCTACAACATAAATGAACTTTAAGGACATTATGATAAGTGAAATAAGGTAGCCATAGAAAGACAAATGCTGTATGATTTCTTTATATGAGGTACTTATTATGAGGTCCAGTTCCAAGAGACAGACAATAGAATGACACTTGCCAGGGGCTCAGGAGAGGAGGGAATAGGGTATTAGTGTTTAATGGATATAGAATGTCACTTTCGTTTGTTTTTTGGTAGTGCTGGGGATTGAACCCAGGGCGTTGTGCATGCAAGGCAAGCACTCTACCAACTGAGCTGTATCCCCAGCCCTAGAGTGTCAATGTTTTTAAATTTTGTTTTTACTTGTAAAGGGACACAATATCTATCTATCTATGTATCTATCTTTCTTTCTTTATTTTCATGTGGTGCTGAGGATCAAACCCAGGTTCTCACACCTGTGAGGCAAGTGCTCTACTGCTGAGCCGTAGCCCATCCCTAGAGTGTCAGTTTTATAAGATAAAAAGAATTATGGCAATGGATAATGGTGATGGTTGCACAACATTTTAATTGTACACTTAAAAATGGTAAATTAGGCGTGCGCACGAGGAAGCGGCGCCGAGCTTCTGCAGCGAGTCCACACGAGGTGAGGGCGTGATGGACGGCGCGGCCTCCACCCCAGCGGAGGCCTCCGGCTGCTTCTGCCACCTCTGCTTCGACCCCGGCTGCTCCGACCTCGAGGAACCAGCTGGACCAGGAGCAGATTAAAAAGGCATTGGAAGCTCTGTTGATGCATTCCAGGTCCAGGAAGAACGACAATGGCTTGCTTTTGAATGAGAATGAAAATTTATTTTTAATGGTGGTATTATGGAAAATTCCAGAAAAAGAACTGAGGCTCAGATTGTCCTTGCCTCATGGTATTCGATCAGATCTGTCAGAAGTCTGTTTATTCACTAAGGATGAGCGCCCATCAATTGAAGAGACAGAACGTTTCTACAGAAAACTTTTGAACAAGCATGGAATTAAAACCATCTCTCGGATTATCCCTTTCAAAGCCTTAAAAAGAGTATAAAGCCTATGAAGCCAAGCTCCGCCTTCTGAGTAGTTTTGACTTCTTCCTCGAAGATGACAGAATCCGGCGGCTTTTGCCCTCACACATAGGGAAGCATTTCTACCGCAGGAAGAAAGTTCCAGTTCCTGTGAACCTTCTGGCAAAGAATTTATCGAAAGAAATCAACAGCTCTGTAGGTGGAACCGTCCTAAACATCTCCAAGAGTGGTTCTTGCAGCACTATACGCATAGGTCACACTGGGATGCAGATTCAGCACATTATTGAAAACATCATTACCATCACAAAAACTCTCTCAGAGAAACTGCCAGAGAAGTGGGAGAGCATGAAGCTTCTCTTTGTGAAGACTGAGAGGTCTGTTTCCCTTCCCGTCTTTTCCTCTTTTGTCAGCTGTCAGAATGAGAACGACAGAGTGTCCTTCCGTAAACTGAAGGAAAAAAAGGAAGCAAAGCAAAAAGAGAAAGAGAGAAAACTCCGTGAAAAACAGAAGTTGAAGAAGAAGAAAAACAAGAAGTTAAGGCAACGGGCTAGGGAGGCTGCAGCCCTAAGTAAAGGTGACGCTGCGGCACCTAAAACTGGGGGTCCAGCGAAGAGCCCTGGGTCCCAGAAGAAAAAGACCAAACTGGTAAAGCCCCAGTTAAAAGCAACAGATACATCTGATGAGGAAATTCCACAGCTGGTACCAATAGGCAGCTCTCTGGCTAAAGAAAATGTTAAGGCCACAGGAAAGAAGTCTCCCAAGAAAAGTCTTGGTCCCAGCACCCCTCGTGCCAAGAAGAGAAAGGCCCCGCCAGCTCCAGAGACCCCAGAATCTGCAGAGCCCGAGACCCCAGGAAAAGGCCCAACAAAGCAGCCAAAAGTGGAACAGAAGAAAACAGAAAGAAACCCTGCACTGGGGAAAAAAGACCTGAGACAGACTCCAAAAAAGCCAGAGGCCAAGCTCTTTACCACTCCCAGCAAATCTGCAAGAAAATCTCCCAAAACCCCCAAACAGTGGCTGAAGAAGGCCAAAGTAGCCCAGTCAACCCCAAATCAGTGACTCGCCCAGCCGGAGCGGCGATCACCCCAAGAGTTTTCAGAAATACTTGGGCCCTGGGCTGGGTGGAGTACTAGAGGAGCACACCCACGGCCCTGCGTGCCCTCCCTCGCACCACAAAGAACCAATTAAAAACTCAGTCCTGACCCCCTTGCAACCTTCTCCAAAAGGGTGGCCTATACCTAAATATCTTAGAAACCTGCACTGGGGATTCTGACATGTGCTTTGAAGCCAGTGCTTTGAAGTGAAGTCTATTTTTTTAATTTTGTCCTATGTATTTGCTAATGTAATAGAGGGAAAGTAGAGTGCTTCTCCATGGTCGTGTTGGATTATTAAAAAATAATGTTAATTACAGTTTTGTTATTTTACTATTAAAATGTAATGTTGGCAGCGTCCAGTTTGACTCAGAAAAAAAAATGGTAAATTATATAATTAAAAATGTATCTGATGTATATTTTATTACAACAAAATATTTGGGAGAAAACAATCCTATTCTCTAAAATATTTTACACTTAAATAAATTTTTACTATTATTCAAAATAATACAAGCACATACATTTAATAATAAAAGGCTTATTAAAATAGTACAAACAAACAAATGAAACCCAGAACACCTGTGTCCAGTGCCTTCTGGGGAATTGATTTTCCTTATTATTTTGATTACTTCTTTGGTTTTTTTTTTGTTTTTTTTTTTTTTTTTTTTGGTGATTTTCTTTATATTTTCTACTCTTTCTTGAGTCAATTATTGTAACTTATAGTTTCCTAGGACATTGTCCATTTCATCTAAGTTTTTAATTGTTTTGACATGAAAATCTATATCATTTTTAAAAATCTATTTTGTTTTCTTTGTAGCACCTAGCATTCATTTAAATTACTTATTCATCTACTATTTATTACCTCTCCTTTCCCCATTAGGTTATTGTCTCATGACTGTGAGGAACTTGTCTATACACACAGTACCTTGTGTAGAGCCTGCCACATAGTAGCCACTCAGTAAATATTCTTATTGAATGAATGAATAATTGTGTGGTCTCTTTGTATGTCCTCTTTTCCATTGCTACTACTATTTATTTGTGTTTTCTTTTTTTTTTTCATTTTATTACCACAGACTTATCTTTTTTACTATCTTTAGGTTTTATCTTTAGGTTTTAGGTCTTTTTTGACCAGCTTTAGGTTTTCTGGATAAACTATTTCTTAGCTTTTTTTTTAATTTATTTTTTGTTCTGCTTTTCTCTTCATCAATTTCTTTTTTCCCCTTTTTTTATCTTTTGTGTTTTATTTTTGTTGTATTTTTATTGTTATTCTAAATTCTTTTGTTTTTATTTTGTCTTCAACCCAAGAATTGTTTAGAAGTGCAATTTTTAGATTGTTAGGTGTGTAGATTGGGAGTTAAACACTATATTATGGTAACTGTGGCCCGTGTGATGTCAGCTTAATGAAGTATGTGTTTGTGTTTATGTAGTTTTCCCCTTGTTATCTGGAACAAAGGTTCACAAACTATAGTCTGTTGAGCAGATAAACCTGGGACCTACTTTTCAGCTGCATTTGCAGAGCTGAGTGTTGTGATAGAGATTGGGTGGCTCACACAGCTTAAAGTAATTACTGTCTGGTCTTTACCTTAAACTTTTGCTTACCTCTGACTTAAAACAATTTTTATGGCTTTATTTGTTTATTTTTATGTGGTGTTGGGGAACGAACCCAGGGTCTCTCTCATGCGTGTGAGGCAAGTGCTCCACCACTGAGCTGGAAACAAGTTCTTCATATCCATGTTAGAATAAGCTTAAATTATGTTACACCAATCCTTGTAGCCCTCTTCATTAGTTTTGGTTTTGATTATAGATATATAAACCTCCCATCACAACTAGATTTGTCCACTTTTTTCATATTTTACTCAGGATTATCATAATATATTTTGGAGGTATTTTATTAGTGCATAAAGTGTACATAATGGCCAGTTGTTTGGGAGCCTGAGGCAGGACAATGGCAAGTTCCAGTCCAATTTCCACAATTTAACAAGACTCTGTCTCTCTCTCTCTCTCTCTGTCTTTTTTTTAAAGAGCATATAAAAGTCATAACGATTATATCTTTCTGCTGGTTTTTCTTCTTACAATATGAAAATCCCTCTTTGTCCTATATATTTATTTATACCTTGGATTCTTTCTCTCTATAGAATATTATTATTATCCCTGTAAGGGCTAGGTTTAAAAAGAATGATTTTTTTCTTTTTTCTTTTTTTATTTATTTTATTTTATTTTTTTTGAGTAGAAGTAGTCTGGAGATAGATATCTCTCTGTGATGTCATCAGAGACCCAGGCTCCTCTTTTCTGCTTCACCATCTTGGTATATGGTTTCCATCCTAAGGTCCCCTCATGGTCCACAAGACTTCTGGAGCTCCAGCCAGCACATCTCCATTGAGGGCCAGAAGGAAGAGGAAAGGTAGGAAGACAAAAAGGGACACATCCCAGCTCAGCTAATTTCCAATAAGTGACCTTGCCAGAAGTCCCAGAAAACAATTTCACTTTCATTTCATTGGCAGAATTTAGTCAAGTGGCCATACTTAAGCTACCAGAGAGGCTGTAAAATCTGGTCTTTTACTTCAGGTAGGTCTATCTTGAATAAAAATCGGCATTCTGTTACCAGGAGGAAGGTGAGAATGGACATTTGGGATAGGCACTACTCTCTGCCACTACCTGTTCTTGTGATTAGCATTTGTTTGCCTGTTATAACTTTTTCTATTCCCTTAATTTCAACCTTCCTCAGTTATTTTATTTCAGGTATGTCTCTTATAAAATATAGCAAGATCTTGAGTTATTCGGTTTTAAACAATCAGAACATCTATTAATAGGTGAGTGTAATGTATTCATTTTACTATTATTGTGTGATATATTTCTGCTATCATCTTTTTTTGCTGTGTGTTTACCATGTTTTCTTTTTCCTCTTTCCTGACACGTGTTAGATTGATTGGGGTTTTTTCTTATCTGTTTTTTTTTCCCTATTTTTCAATTGTCCTTACTGTTTTGATTCTTTTTGTTTTTACTCTTACTATTCTTTAACATTTCTGTTTTGAAATAATTTCAGACTTACAGAAAAGTTGTAATTATAGTACCAAAATACTTTATTTTTATTTTTATATGTGTAAATATTTTTTAACAATTTGAGAGAAATTGCATACATGATGCCCCTTCAGTAGATATTTCCTTATGTATTCACTAAAGAAAAAGGACATTCTTTTACATAACCAGAATGTCCTTTTTTCATACAATATTGTTACCTAATCCATAGTTTCAAATGGCTATACAAATGTCACCAGTTTTACTAGTAATGTGCCATATTTTCCAAAAAAATAAAGCAATACATAAGCACATGATAATTATACTTATTAGTTGGCTTTGATAGCATGTGCCTTTAGTCCCTGCTACTTGGGATGCTGAGGCAGGAGGATTGCTTGAGCCTGGAATTTGAGACTAGTGTGGGCAACTTAGTGAGACCCTATTTCTCAAAAATAAATAAATAAATAAGAAAGGATAGGGGTACAGTGCTTGACTAGAATGCATAAGGCCCTAGGTTCAATTCTGAACACTGCAAAAAAAAACTACATATATATATGTTTTCAGTACTGTTTTCCATGGTGGCTGCACTAATTTACATTCTAAGAGAGTACCATGTGATGTTTTGATACATGTATACATTATGTAATCTTTAAATAAGGTTAAACATATTTGTCTCCTCAAACATCTATAATTTCTTCATGGTAAAACCATTCAGTATCCTTTCTTCTTTTTGCAATAGACAGTGCATAATTGTTCTATTCTTCTAGTTTTTTTTATAGTCCATAATTGTTATCTCTAGTCATGATACTGTGCAATAGTACCCCAGAGCTTCTTGTTACTTAGTACCCATTGATCAACCTCACCCAATCCCCACTTTCCCCAACCTCTGGTTCCCAGCATTTTACTTTCAAATTTTATGAGATCAATCTTTTTTTTTTTTTTTTTTTTTGGTACCAGGTGGAGCTGCTTTTCCACTGAGCCACATCCTTAGCCCTTTTATTTTGAGACAGGGTCTTCCTAAGTTGCTTATGGCCTCACTAATTTGCTGAGGCTGACTTTGAACCTGCAATCCTCCTGCCTCAGTCTCCCAACCCACTGGAATTATAGGCATGCACCTGGCAATACTTAGAGGTCTTAAAAGAATGGTCTAACATCATTTCTTCACCTTCCCCAGTCAAACCCACTGCAGACTGTCCAATTCTACTTCTCCAACCATTTCTTCATTGCTGCATCCAACAGATTATTTCTTTGTGCTTTTCTTTCTCCCATGTATGGCCAAAATCAACTTTTCTAGATTCCAAGTATGAGTGAGATCATACAATACTAATCTTTTTGTGCATGTCTTATTTCACTTAACGTAATATACTCTAGTTCATCCATGTTGTTACAAATAATAGGATTTCATTCTTTTTATGGCTAATTAGTATCCTATTGAGTATACATACCACATTCATCAGTTGGTGCACATTTAGGTTGATTCCATATCTTGGCTATTATGAATAGTGCTGCAGTAAACATAGGAATGCAGATGTCTTTTCAAAATACTGATTTCATTTCCTTTGGATATACACCCAGGTGTGAAATCTATGGGAGGTATACACACACACACACACACACACATATATATTCTATTTTTAAGCTTTTAGGAACCTCAATACTGTTTTCCATGGTGGCAAACTAATCAACAGTTTGCAGGAGTTCCCTTTTTCCCATATTCTCGCCAGCACTTGCTATCTTTTGATAATAGCTGTTCTTAGTGGACTGAGGTGATAATTCACTGGTTTTGATTTGCATTTCCTAATGATTGATGATGTTGATTATTTTTTTCATACACATCTTGGCCATCCATATGTCATCTTCTTTGGGGAAATGTTTATTTAGATCTATTGCCCACTTAAAAAACTGAGTCATTCCCTTTTGAGTTCCTTAATATTTTGAGTATTAACCCTTTGTAAGATGTATAGTTTTCAGACATTTTCTCCCATTCTTTAGAATGTGTCTTCACTCTGATAATTTTTCCTTTGCTGCAGAAGCTTTTTAGTTTGATGAAATTCTATTTGTCTATTTTTGCTTTTGTTTCCTATACATTTGAGATTTTGTCAAAAAAAATCTGGACCTATTCTAATGCACTGCTATGTTTCCCCTATGTTTTCTTCTAGAAGTTTCAGTTTAGGTCTTTGATCCATCTTGGAGCTGTTTTTGTAGGTGATAAAAGGACAGATTCTAGTTTCATTCTTCTGTAAATGGATACCTGATTTTCCCAGTACTAGGAATGAAAAAGACCTTTCTTTTTCCAATGTATGTTCTTAGCACCCTTGTTTAAAATTAGTTGGCTATAGATGTATAGGGATGTTTCGGGGCACTCACTTATTCATTGGTATGTGTGTCCACTTTTATGCCAGTATTGTGCTATTTTAGTTACTGTACTTTTGTAGTATATTTTGAAGTCAAGTGTTATGCCTTTACTTTCTTTTTGCTCAAGATTGCTTTGGCAGCTGGGTGTGGTGGTGCACGCATGTAGTCCCAGTGACTCAGGAGGCTGAGGCAGGAGAATCATGAGTTCAAAGCCAGCCTCAGCAAAAGCAAGGTACTAAGCAACTCATTGAGACCCTGTCTCTAAATAAAATACAAAATATGGGGCTGGGATTGTGGTTCAGTGGTAGAGTGCTCACCTAGCACATGCGAGGCCCTGGGTTCAATCCTCAGCACCACATATAAATAAATAAATAAAATAAAGATATTGTGTCCAACTACAACTAAAAAGTAAATGTTTAAAATAAATACATAAATAAATAAAATACAAAATAGGGTGGGAATGTGGCTTAGTGGTTGAATGCCCCTGAGTTCAATCCCTAGTACCAAAAAAAAAAAAGAAAGAGAGATTGTTTTGGCTATTAGAGGTCTTTTGTGCTTCCATATAAATTTTAGGATTGTCCCTTCTAGTTCTGTGAAAAATGTCATTAGTATTTTGTGTTGCATTGACTGTAAATTGCTTTGGGATATATGAACAATTTAACAATATTCTTTAAACCATGAACATGGTAAGTCCTTCCTATTCTTTATTTGTATGTATCCTTCAAGTTCTTTCATCAGAGTTTTATAATTTTCATAGTAGATGTTTTTACTTTCTTGACTAAATTTGTTCCTATGTATTTATTTTTTGGTAATTATCATGAATGGGATTCCTTTCATGCTTTCTTTCTCAGCAGTCTTATTATTGATGTATAAAAATGCTACTGATTTTTGTAAATTCATTTTGTATTCTGCAAGTTTACTGGATTTTTTATTGGTTATAATAGTCCTTTAGTCTTTAGGTTTTTTTGTATTAGAATCATGTCATCTGCAACAGGGATAATTTGACTTCCTTCCTTTCTATTGTTATGCCTCTTCTTTTTTTGTCTTTCCAATTGCTCTAGCTGTTTCCAGTACCACGTTGAATATTAGTGGTGAGAGTGCACACCCTTCTTATTCCAGATTCATCATGCTACTATGATGTTTTCTGTGGGTTTCTTTTTTAAATATTTATTCTTAAGGCTTTAGGTGGATACAATATCTTTATTTTACATTTATGTGGTGCTGAGGATTGAACCCGGTACCTTGTGCATGCTAGGCGAGCATGCTACCACTGAGCCACAACTCCAACCATTCTGTGGGTTTCTTATAGATAGTCTTTAATTATATTGAGGTGTTGCTTCTGCAGTCAATTTGTTCAGTGTAGATAAAAAATGCTTTTTCTCAGGCTGGGGTTATCACTCAGTGGTAGAGCACTTGCCTAACACATGTGAAGCACTGGGTTCAGTTCTCAGCACCACATATAAATAAACAAAGGTCCATTGACAACTAAAAAAATACTTTTAAAATGCTTTTTCTCCATCTCCAGAAATAGATATGATTTTTGTCCATCATTTTGTTGATGTAAAGTATTGAATTAATTTATTGAATTGTATATGTTTAATGATATTTATATGCTTAAGGAAAATCTAGCTTAATCATAATGAATGATCTTTTTGATATGCTGTTGAACTCAGTTTGCTGGTATTTTATTGAGAACTTTTACATCTACTTTTATTTGAGACATCACGCTAATAGTTTCTCTCTCTTTCTCTCTCTGTGTCTTTATGTGATTTCAGTATTAAGATAATAGTCACCTCATAAAATGAATTTGGAAGAATTCTCTCCATTTAATTTTATGGAACAGAATAGAAGAATTGGTATTAGTTCTTTCTTAAAAGTTTGATAGAGGGCTGAGGTTGTGGCTCAGTGGTACAGCACTTCCCTAGCACATGCAAGGCCCTGGGTTTGATCCTCAGCACCACATAAAAATAAATAAATAAAGGTATAAAAATTATATTTAAAAAAAAAAAGTTTGGTAGAACTCAGCAGTGG